CTCAGAGGCTCTGCTTCTCAATGTCCCAGTAATCGCTGCAAGCACCTCCGAGAGAAATCTGCCCTGGAGTTCCGACCGATGCCAGACAATCCCGCTTCTCCTGTATGAGTCTGGGTCCCCAAAGACTTGCCTGGTACTGGAGCTCAGAGCCTGAGACTCCCTCCCGATTGAAAAAGACAACCGCACCCTCAGCTGCCAGCCCGCTCCGCATGCACCTCCACACCTTAGTATTTTACTCCTGCACCTCTGAGTCTCAGTATGCTTTTCTCTTTCCTTCTAGTTGTAGAATTTCCACTCATCCAGCCTTCCTGTGGTTCTGGATGATGTCCATTCCGTCTTTTAGTTATATTTTTGAAGTGGTTGTGCGAGGCAGCAAACTCTGGTGTTTACTTATGCCGCCATCTTGGTTTCTCCCTAACTTACTTATACAAAAGTAGTGCTTATCTTGTAGTTGGTAAAAATCTTCCTGCATGTGTAAGGTTTATAAATATTATATACTGATAGTATCTTTAGTATTAGTATAAAAATAAATATAGTATGTATACATACATATTGTTTTGTAGTTTCCTTTTTTCCCTCACAATTGTTCAAGTGTATTCAGTTTGATACCTGTGGATTGATTTCATTTATTTTAACTCCCCATTTCATGATCAATGGATGTTTAAATTGTTTCCAAAGTTTTGCTATTATAAGTGTTCTTGTATACATATTCTTGTTCATATCCAGGAATTTCTCTAAAATCTATAAATAGAAGTAGAAATGTTGACTTACAGAATATGTGTATATTCATCTTTACTCGATGCTGCTAATTGCTTTCCAAGTGGTTATACCAATTTACATTGACACCAGAATAAGACTGTGTGATACATAGCTTTGTTCTGGAATTATACACTTATTTTTTCAGAATCAGACATTAAATTCATTTAGGAGATTAGTCTAGTGCAGCCGTGGGCAAACTACGGCTCGCGGGCCGGATCCGGCCCGTTAGGCTGTTCTATCCGGCCCGCGGAGCCGAAAGAGCGGAGGGTTCTCTTGCTCTCCCCTCCGCTCCTTCACTAGCAGTAGTGTTAACATGTATTGGTTCACACAAACGCTCCATCCACGCTTTTGTTTCGGCCCTCCGTTCCAGTTTAAGAACACATTGTGGCCCTCGTCTCAAAAAGTTTGCCCACCCCTGGTAGTGTGTCTTTATGTATTGGGTATAGATATCAGTAGTTTAAAGTTTGGACTTTTGCTGGCTATTGTAGTTTCTATTTTATATTAGTTTGTTATGTAGAGGATTTATCTTGAGTTATTAGTAAACTGATAAGATTAACACAAAAGTCATTTAATATATTTGCTTCCATATTTTCACTGGGTATTCATTTTGTTTTGACCTGCCAGATGTGATATGTATAATTGTACTGCCTACACAAATTTTCCATATTTCTGAGTAATTATCGGTTTATGTAGAAATGCTCCAACTATATTTTTATTTGTTGAACATAATTTATTAGGAATCAAAACCATCATATTTAGGATAAGACCAAAATTAAGGTTGTGTCAATATTCATGACACAATAAAGATTTATCATAACAACCCTATAAGGGGGT